TCTCCGGGTGATTTTTTGGCATCAAATGTTGGTATTCCTAATATTGGTGATGATGTTGGTACTAGTAGGAGACGTCTTCGGTCTCAATTTGTGGATTTTGGGAGTGATAGTGAAGAATCGCTTAAGTCGAGTTCTTCTAATGAGTCCGAGGGATCCGATAGTGATGTAATTCCGGATGGAGATGTGGGAGATGGTGATGACATTCCAGGCGAAGATGTCATTATAGACAAAAATAGAGGGAAGAAAATAAAACCACTTAATTTGAGTTTGGTGGATTATGATACTTCGTTAACCGAATCTCAATTCGGTATTCTTCGTAAGCTAGTTGGGGCTCCGAGGAATATTGAGATGCTCTTGCCTAAAAAAGGTGAACGATTGTATGCACCCCCTGTAGGGTTCCACACCCAATACGTCGCATATTTGACATGTTCTTCGCAGATTGTGCCCGACTCAACTCTTTTGAAGATATGCGAGGAATTTCGGGTAGGATATAGTCAATTAACTCCGAACTTTATTCTCACGTTCGAAGCGTTTCGACGAAGAATGAGCGAAGTAGGATTACCGATTAGTGTTGAGATGTTCAAGGCATTGTTTACCCTACATCGTTCAAGTGATTTACCCTTCTTCTGCACACATCCTCGGGTTCCTTTCAGATTTTTGAAGGGGATTAAATTGAAGTGGGAAAAATGGAGTACTTTATTTTTTTATGTAAGGGCTCCGACGGCCGATGTTCCCCTTGTTTGGAATCCGGTATGCGAATATTTTAAGATAATGAAGAATATGAAGAAACGTATTAAGGAGTCGAGGTTGTGTGCTTTGGAGTTCGATCCGACTTGTATTATTCCAAAGGGTCAGGCGTCTACTTCGTTGCGTGTAGTCTATGCGTTTTATGCCTCTGAGCCTTATTTTGTCTTGTCTCTACTCTTCTATTTTATCTCTTTGTGAGTAATTTTTTTTTTTTTTTGGATAGATGGGTGTATTGATTTCGCGGCTCTTCGGAAGAAGGCTACTGGAGGTGTAAAAAAGCAAGCGAAGAGGGATCCTTTGAAGCAAGCGAAATCAAGTAGTAGCAAATCGCGCGAAGTGGCCCGCGTGGAGGCCTCACATGTGAGTGGAGATGATCGTAATCATAGTGTTGAGGGGGATGAGCTGGATCGAGTGGTTAATAATGGGAAGTATGAGTTGGTTGAGATCGAGTATGTGCCTGCACCGAAACGGCCTCGAGTGGATCCTGAGGTTTCTCATGTGCCTCCAGGGGGTGCATGCAAATGCTTGTTCACGTACGGGGTGAACCGAGAGGGGAAGGATTCTTTTTGGGATACGACCGATCATACTATCGCGCTGAGGAAGACCGATGGTTTCGTTGAGGAGTACGATCGAAGTCGGATGTCGGGTAAAGGTCGTGCTCATATGCTTTCGTTGGCTGGAGGAGACATGTGTCGGGTAAATATTTGTTTTAAGTTAATATGTTTGCGTTTTAGATTATAAATATTGATAATCTAATATTATCTATCTGAATTTTGATATAGCTTATAGCTACGTGGAGGTATCTAGTGGAGCAGGAGGAGCAAGTCGAAAAGACCCATGATGAGGAGCGTGCTGGTTGGGAGGCAAGGGAGAAAGAGCTAAAGGCTCAATTGGAGGCTGCGGAAACCAAACTAGAGGTGGCCGAGACTCTGCTCATTCAGAGGACCGATGAATTGGAGATTAGTAGGAGCGAGACCGAGGCGAGTAAAATTGAACTGATGAAACTAGATCGGTGCTATGACGAGCTGAAGGAGAAGTATGATGCCGAGAAGTTTACGGGGAATAGGTTTTTGGCTTCTTCGGCTGGAGCAGCTTATAAGGAATCGGTTATGTTAGAAGGGGAACGTCGCTTTCAGAAGAGTGATATCTGTCGAGCTATGATCGAAGATCGAGCAATAGCTGGGGTTTATGCTCCTTTAGTTAGGACGTGTCGTCAGTACTTACGCAAGGTT